GGCATGAGCCAGAACAGCTGATTTCTGTCTTGTGTCTGGTCCTCCATGTTGTGCCTCTGCCTTTTAAATGTATTAAGAACTGCCAGGCTCTTAATACATTTAAAAGGCAGAGGCACAGCAGGTTAGCTCCTGGATGTGGGAGCTAACCCCACTGCAGCTCTGCAGTTTTTACCCCCCTCCCTTCCCCGTTATTGACCAATTGAGTAGTCAATGGAAATTTCATCAGCTACTCAATTAGCTGATTAAACATCCCCATTTAGAATTCTGACTATATTAAGCAGCCTACTCCTGTGCTTTGAAAGCTATTGCGAACTTAGCATGGAAGCATAATGATGCATGGCTTGAGCTGAGGAGGTGACTGATCTGTGTGGAACTCCTTAATGCTGTAAATCAGTGCCTCTCAACCTTTTTACACTACTACTGTACCCTTTTCAATAATCTGATTTGTCTTGTGTGTCTTCAAGTTTCGTCTCAGTTAAAACCTACTTGCTTATAAAACCAGACATAAAAATACAAGGGTTGCTTACTTTCTTGGTAATATTAGCAATTTTTCATTTTTATCATAGAATTGTAAAATCAATTGGAATATAAATATTGTGCTTATTTCAGTTTAATGTATATAGAGGAGTATAAACAAGTCATTGTCTTTTTTAAATTTTAGTTTGTACTGACTTGGCTCTTTATGTAGCTCATTGTAAAAATATTCAGATCTGAGTTGATGTACTCCCTGGGAGACCTCTGTGTATGTCCAGGAGTATGCATGGTTGAGAACCATGGCTGTAAATAAACAGCCATAACCGATTACTCTCAACTTAAAGGCGAGCCAGATTGAATTCATTTGGCTTGTCCAGACACATGTAACTAACAGTCGGCATACGTGTAATCCTTTTGCTAGCTGACTCCGAGGCTTATAAAAAGGTGATTTAGCCCAGATTCATGGAAGGTGCGTAACATTGAACCCTGGGTTAGAACATCTGAAAACTGAGAGAATAACTCATGAGATGAGCTCCTAAGGCTATAATGGGTTCTGCTGCAGAATCATCATGTCTCTGGAGCTGCTACCTTATGGTGAACAGGCTGCTTTTGCTTCAGTCTTCTTGTAAAATTGCTCTTGCTGCTTCAGTTTCTGTTTTGAACTATCCATTGGGGGATACGGTCAGCTCTGTAGGTAATTACTTTGATATTAGCCACTACTGGGATCTGCAGTTCCCAACAGCAGCCACCAAGGAATGGATGACTGTGCCTCTGCCTTTTAAATGTATTAAGAACTGCCAGGCTCTTAATACATTTAAAAGGCAGAGGCACAGCAGGTTAGCTCCTGGATGTGGGAGCTAACCCCACTGCAGCTCTGCAGTTTTTACCCCCCTCCCTTCCCCGTTATTGACCAATTGAGTAGTCAATGGAAATTTCATCAGCTACTCAATTAGCTGATTAAACATCCCCATTTAGAATTCTGACTATATTAAGCAGCCTACTCCTGTGCTTTGAAAGCTATTGCGAACTTAGCATGGAAGCATAATGATGCATGGCTTGAGCTGAGGAGGTGACTGATCTGTGTGGAACTCCTTAATGCTGTAAATCAGTGCCTCTCAACCTTTTTACACTACTACTGTACCCTTTTCAATAATCTGATTTGTCTTGTGTGTCTTCAAGTTTCGTCTCAGTTAAAACCTACTTGCTTATAAAACCAGACATAAAAATACAAGGGTTGCTTACTTTCTTAGTAATATTAGCAATTTTTCATTTTTACCATAGAATTGTAAAATCAATTGGAATATAAATATTGTGCTTATTTCAGTTTAATGTATATAGAGGAGTATAAACAAGTCATTGTCTTTTTTAAATTTTAGTTTGTACTGACTTGGCTCTTTATGTAGCTCATTGTAAAAATATTCAGATCTGAGTTGATGTACTCCCTGGGAGACCTCTGTGTATGTCCAGGAGTATGCATGGTTGAGAACCATGGCTGTAAATAAACAGCCATAACCGATTACTCTCAACTTAAAGGCGAGCCAGATTGAATTCATTTGGCTTGTCCAGACACATGTAACTAACAGTCGGCATACGTGTAATCCTTTTGCTAGCTGACTCCGAGGCTTATAAAAAGGTGATTTAGCCCAGATTCATGGAAGGTGCGTAACATTGAACCCTGGGTTAGAACATCTGAAAACTGAGAGAATAACTCATGAGATGAGCTCCTAAGGCTATAATGGGTTCTGCTGCAGAATCATCATGTCTCTGGAGCTGCTACCTTATGGTGAACCTCAGGCTGCTTTTGCTTCAGTCTTCTTGTAAAATTGCTGTTGCTGCTTCAGTTTCTGTTTTGAACTATCCATTGGGGGATACAGTCAGCTCTGTAGGTAATTACTTTGATATTAGCCACTACTGGGATCTGCAGTTCCCAACAGCAGCCACCAAGGAATGGATGACTGTTTCTGATTCAGGTTCTGAGTCGAGGGCCAAGGACTGCTATTGCCACTTCATTGCATAAGGTGCCTCTACATCCATAGACTAAAATTAAGGCCACTGGTTTCAAACATGAGTGGCATAAGTTAATGTAAATTCACAGTTAGGCATCTGATTTCACTCAAGTGGTAAGAATTTACAATTAACCACTGACCACAGTGATTTCATTGGGAATCTGTGTAGTGTCTTGATGGGTATTTTGCTCTGTTCACTGATAACTGTTTGGCTGTGTATACTCCCCCTGTACATTGCACTGGCTCTGTTTAGGTAGCCAGCGCAGCAGACTCTGAGAGAACCCCCAAAGACCACAAAATCAGATAAGGGACAAAGGTACCAGGCCAGGTTTATTGTTAATTCTAGTGTTTAGCAGACTCTACCAGACAACTAACATATACACCCGTTGTAATGCACTGGCTCAGACAGTGGCAGGACTTTCCACTGTCTCCTAGGCCAGACAAGGACCGCCCCTCTGTAATGGTACAGGTTGGACCTCACTGGTCCGGCACCCTTGGGACTTGACTGATCCCGAACGAGGAGATTTTCCAAACCAGGGAAAGTTCCTCCCCTCAGGGTCCGTGCTGCTACCGGGCTAAGGCTCCAGCTTGCCCCTGCTGCTCCCCCAGCCTGCCAGGGCTCTCTAGATGCCACCAGCCCCGTTGCTGCTGGGGCCTGAGAGCCACGGTTGGAGCTCTGCAGCAGAGCTCCGAAGCCACCTGGCTCTGCATCTGGGGTTCCCAGGCTGCTGGAGCCAGAATGGGGCCGTGGCCAGAGCTCCCTGGCTGCCACTGGGGCCAGAACTCCCTGCTGTGCTTCCCTTCCCCCCTCCCTCTGCCCCGACACTAGGTTCCCAGCTGAGTTGCTGGTGCCCTATGGGGCTCCTGCCCTGCTGCCAGACCTCCCTGTTTCTGGGCTCTGTGGTCCAGGAACATCCATGGTCGGTACCAGGCCACGGATGTTGCTGGACCACTGAGTCCTGATTAAGGGAGGTACAACCTGTTCAAACAAGTTACATATTATTTCTGTTGTATCAGGTTGCCACCCTCCGGGGTTACCTAGATACCACCCATTACCTTGTACATGCGGGTTTGATTAAAACATTTCTATTTATTGTGCTGTTATTTTAGACTCTGTGTTGAATCTGAGTCAGTATGTCCTTACTATCTGTGAGTTGCTGGTACCAAAATGTTTCTTCGTGAGGCATTGTTATCCCTGTGGAATGCATTTACGCCCTGTGCCTAGTACCTATCAGGTATGAATGTTTGTGCAATATCAGTCCTTCTCTTAAGTTCTGTGAGCAGGGCCTGCCTCTTGCTCACAGCTTAACTTGGCTTTGTATTAGCAAAGTCTTAACCATTGTTGTCTAGGCTTCAGGCCTCGCACCAAGCCAGCGATATATGGGCTTATGTTTTAGGCGTTCCTCTTACTACAATCATTAGGGGCATAGGAATCTGCATCCAGCCTTCCAGCTGTTTAATTATGCACTCTCTCAACTTTAGTGTAAGGGTTTGACAGCATGCTTGAACATGCTAATTTACTGATGAGCTGCAGTTGCACTGCCTTACTCTCACATGTCCACTTATGTGAGAGAAGGGATGGCAGAGATGAGAAGTTGGATGGAGTGCTTCAGCAATTGAGAGGCTAATAGTTGAGAGTTGCTCTACTCTCCCACAGGAACCAGAGTTTTTCCAGACTAAGAATTCTGGGAGGAGGAGAGGCGGCATTGGAGTGCCCTTCCTTAGTCTTTAGAAGGATCTCAGCTCCTGAGATCTATAAAACAAGGCAGTAGGATGTTAAGAAACCTTATTCTTTAGCATTAAAGTCACCAGAGAATCCTTCTCTTCTCTTCCCACTTCACCCCTCAACCACTTTTAATGACCTAAGAAAGCTAATATGAGAAGGATCACAAAGTCTGAGGAAAAATAGTTCACCAGTAAAGTTTTGTTTGAGCTCTGTTTAGGTAGGAAATATTGGCTGTCTAACTCTTGCCTGTTGCTCTTAGTATTAAACAGTTTTGGCCCTGTAAAAACACAGAGCAAGACAATCTCACTCAAGGAGTTTGTTTAAAACTAGATGGTCATACAGTGCATTGTGTTTGTCTAGCAGATCCACTTATCTAAAAGTGATGCTAAACATTTATATATAAATCCTGATACTGGAGGCTATAGAAAGTCCTGTAGTATCCAAGAATATTCTATGACAGTGTTTTTTGGTGTAACATCAGTTCAGTAGATTTAATGGTCTAAGTTTTCATTTAAAAAAAAAAGGGGGAGGAGAGCAAAATACATTAATGGGCTGGAACCATTTTCTTCTAGTCCACCATGACCCTGCAGGCCAGAGTGGAGGAAAATGTTCTGCAGCACAGCAGGGTATTTGGGCAGTATGCCTGCCTGCCCACAGCCTCAGCTGTGTCACTCCTGGAAGTGCCATGGCCAAAGGCTGATGATATGTCTCTGCATGCCCTTGGGGGAGAGGAGGCAGTAGGCCTCCACCCATTGTCCCCGGTGCCATCTTCATAACTCCCATGAGCTGGAAACTGGCTGATGGAAGCTTCAGGAACAGCGCTTGCAGGGCAGGCAGTGTGCAGAGACTGCTGTCCTCCTTCCCCAAAAGGGGTGTGCAGAGACACAACAGCTGGCACTGTTGAGTGGCATGGAGTCACCATGGCATGCAGGCAGCCTGCCAGAGTGCTCCACAGTGGCCAGGAGCTGCCTGTGATAAGCTCTCCTGGTCAGAGTCTGCAACTGGCACTTCCTCCCTCATCCCAACCCGCTACCTTCTCCTGGCTCCAAGCTCCCTCCCAGACCCTACCCCCCCCATCTTTCACCCCTACCCCAGGTCAGAACCACCCCCTGGACCCTAACTCCCTCTCAGACCCAACATCCCAATCCCTGCCTGGAGCTCCCTCTTGCATTCAAACTCCATCAGACCCCACACCCCCTCCATTAATGTAATAGAAAAGTTTGTCACATGACCACTTACCAGAATTCTTGGCGTGAGAATAATTCTGGCAAAATTATTGCCTACCCCGATCTAGACCAACTACATGCTATGTATTCATTTCAGTCAGTTGGTAAAGGAGTCTTTCATGAGGGCAGGTCTGATTATGATGTTGCATGCATCAAGCTGACATTATGTAACTGCTTCGGTTTTTCTACTTTCAGTCTTCCTCCCTGAGGTGAAGTCCATTTATCTCATTTTGCAGATATTGCCTCACATCTGTGGATTACGGATGGAGTAATAAATGTTTCTGACTTGGATCAATAGCTGATGCAGCTCCTTAAATACTCTATGGTCGTGTCATAACTGCTGTTTGCTGCTTATGTAACATTATTCTGCAGTTGGACCATTGGGAGTGGCTCTGAGACATATTTCATGTAGACTTTGTAACCTGACCTTTTTAAGGCTGTATAACAATAAATGGTTAGAGATTTTCAGTTCATACTGAACATGTACTTCTCTTTGCAACGTCCTTTCAGTTCAGCTTCCCCTATTAGAAGAGTTCAAGGTGGGATTTCCTTTGTAAAATCAACTTCCTGCTCTTGTGCTACTAAGTTTTTCAAGTTTAGAGCATGCATATACAGGCAGTCCCCGAGTTACGCGGATCCGACTTATGTCGGATCCGCAGTTACGAACGGGGTTCCTCTCCCTGGTCTCCAGCAGACCAGGGAGAGGAAGCAAAGCGGCGGAACACGTGGGCAGCGGACAGGGCTGTCTGCTGCCCACGTGCTCCGAGGCTTGGCTCTGCTTTGCCCCTCCCCGTCCCCCTGGTCTGCAGACCAGGGGAATGGGGGGGGCAAAGCAGAGCCAATCCGCGGAGGACGCGGCCAACCGGAAGCCGCGGAGCGGCTCGGGGCGCCGG